CGAAATAACAGCCCTTATTTCAAAATAACTTTCCAAGCGTCTACACAGCCAAACCGCTATTTCAGAATAAAATTGAAATAAATTCCAAATAGCTATTTCAAAATAAGCTCTGTGTAGACACTTATTTCGAAATAGGGGGCCTCCAGCCTTCCCAGGGTGCCCTGGTGGCCACTCCAGCCACAACCAAGAACACTCCTCTCTGTCCCCCCCCCTCCCAGAGCCCTTAAAGGGGTAGACTCTGGCCACAGTGCCTGTGCCAGCTCCAAGCCTGCCAGCCCAGAGCCAGCAGTCACTGCCCCCGACCCAATGGCCCCAAACATGAGCCAGCAAGCCACTGTCAGCCAGCCCTCCACCACTCTCCAGGAGCAGTCTGCCAGCTCCCAGGAGCCTGCCAGGATCCAGAGAAGGCGGGCACCTTCCTGGTCCAAGATGGAGATCATGGGCCTTATTCAGGTTTGGGGGGGATGCCCCCAACGTCCATGATCTCTGCACTAGATGGAGGAACGCGGCCATCTATGGGAGGATAGCTGCCAGCCTGGCCACCAAAGGCCACATGTGAACTCAGGAGCAGGTTTACATGAAAAACAAGTTGGTCCGGCGAGACTCTCACAACTGAGCCCTGAGCTTACCCTCTCCCTTCTTCTCCTTGCTTCCCCCTTCCAGCTCCCTCTCCCCAGGTTTCCCCCTCCTCTCTCCCACTCTCTCTTTTCCCCTCTCCCACCTCCTTTCCCCAGTCTCACCAGAGTTTCATCCCTCCCCCCAGTTTTGTTAAATAAAGAGAGTTTGTGTTCATGAAAATACGTGTATTTTATCTGACATCAGGAAGGGGGGTTAGGGAGGGGTAAGTAGAATGATGTGAGGGAGGAATGAGGCACAAGCCCCCAGTGGGGCGGATCAGGGAGGCTCTTAGTGCTCCTCAGGGTGGAAGCTCTCCCACAGGGCCTCTTGGATACTGACAGCCCCCAAATGGACCTCCTGGATGGCAGCCTGCAGAAAGAGCATCCAGGCTTGCAGCAAAGCACCAGAGTGCCCAGGGGAAGCTTTGGCTCCATGTTGCAGAGTGCTGTGGTGTCCCGAGTGAGGACAACAAGATCACGCAGAGACAAAATGTTTTGCTGTCCCTCATCGAGGTAGACAAGCAAGCAGGGAAACCTGAGAACTGGCTGTCCAGGGGGTTCCCTTTAAGCACAGACCTCAGATAGCCTCAGGCAGCAATCCCACACAGTAAGTCCTGTCCTGGTGCCCTGCCGGAAATGCATTTTGTGTGTAGATGCATTATTTCAAAATAAGCTATTTCGAATTAACACTGTAGTGTAGACATAACCCTGATGTTGTAAAGTATTAACTCTGCATAAAGAGTTCAGATTCTGGCCCACCGTATTTATGTTGTTGCAATTATAGATCAATTGCTGTTTCTAGAGAGGTGGGTGGTTCTTTGCTTTGAGATTGGGGGAGAGTTTTTAGGGGGCAGGGACTGGCCTTTATTCTTTTAACAGTGGTTTGGCTCACCTTCCACTGGTACACTTTTATAATGAAAAAATAGTAAATTTGTATTAATCTCAAGAGCTTGAGTGAATGAGTGTGGTAGAGCAGATTTGTACATTTGGAATGTTACTGTTGAACAATTAATGTGGGAGACCCTCTTTGCATATACAAACGGAAAAAAAACCACTAAAATTGTAGCCAGAAGTCTGGGGTTGTTTGATTTCAGGTGCTGTTTTGCCCTCCTAGGACATAGTTTAAGCACAAGGTTCTGATATTGCAGTCCCGGGCAAGGTCACAATGATTAATCCACTTACTGGTTAAAATGGAAGCATTCACAGTTCTGCAGTTGTTTATAATAAATGGAGCTCTCATTATGCCTTTGCTTTTTGTTTGGTCTTATTTTTGGTAGTGTCATAAGAAAACTCTTTGTAAATGAAAGAATATCTCACTAACATCTTTCCAGAATTGTAAATTTTTTTAATGCACCTATTGTTCCAAAAGTGCCTAAATTGCTTCCAGCAAGAACTGGATGAACTCGAAAACTGGAAGAACTCTTCACATATTCTAATGTTGCAACATTCTCTTATGTTACAAATAAGGGCCTCCTATGTATCACATTTCTGTGCTTGAGTTTAAGTAGAATACCGACCCCTGCTGGTGAACACTAAGGATTAGATCAGCAGATATTTAAGCACTTAATTACAACTTTAAACACCTAAATCTAAAATGCAAACCTTCAGAACTCCTACACAACTGCTGCCTAAACTTGTAGGTGCATAAAGTCATTAGGCGACTCTGTTTGCACCGATAAAGGTGCATCCTCACCAACAGAAAGGCAATCTAATTCCTGACACCACTGAGCTGTTCACCACATAAACCCTGCAGGATTCTCAGACTAGGCAATTCCCTGCCTATCTCAGGTGCAGAGCCTGCTCTCTCAGATATTCCTGAAGGCTGACTACAGGATTGGGCCCCCTACAGAACATGGAAGAGTTGTCCCTGAACTTATTATGATCCAGTAGTCCAGTTGTTAGAGCATGAGAGAGTGAGATTTAAATCTGCCCTCTGAGTAATTCAGATCAGGTACCTGAAGCTAAGGTCTTTCGCATCTTGGGAGAGTGCTTTTTTAATGTTTTCTAAAATACTTTACATATGCACTGGGCCAGAGAGAATGACTCTGTAGTCTAATGGTGAGGCCACAGTCCTGGGAAACCCTGATTCCAGTCCCTGCTGTAATAACCATAAAGATATGTTATGAGAAAATGGCATAGCTTCAACAGGAGAGATGGAGAGACCCACCCCAGAAGAGCCCATTGTCTGGTAGTTTGAGGCACACTTGGAATTCAGGAAGCCTTCTTTCAAGACAGGTAGAGTTGGGACTTGCATCTGCATCCCCCACACTGCCTGAGCAAGCCTGCTAAGTGCCAGGCTATCAGCCAGTGAAGGGGCCACCACCACTGAGTTTTGTGAGAAAGAGCTTAGGTGCCTGCTGTCAAGAGAGGGTTTGTGACTGATTCCTGAGGGGAGTCAGGCATTTAACTCTCTTTGAGGACATCAGCCTAATTGAGGGCATAGCCTATGTGTCTTCTGGGTGTGATGGTCTCTGTGAGTCTCATTCACAGGCACCTGAGACGCCTCGTTCATTGTATAAAGAGCCTGGGTGCCTCAGTAGGGGCTGAGGATTCCCCTGACCACAAAACACTGAGCTTAAGCCCCCTTTGTGGCTCGAGAGAGGTCCCTGGATCTTTAGACTCCTAAATACATAGAATTTTCAGAAGAGTTGGGTTCTTGCAGTTTTCATTGATCCCAGCTGTAGCAGCTGGACACTTAATATTTTGACATGCTTTCTAATTATTTGTGTTGACATTTGTGTATGAAAACCAGTGTGTTATAAACCTTATTATCAACCATCGGGTTTTTGTAAATTTTTTTATTCTCTGCATTGTAATATATCCTAGTGTAGCTTACCTGTTATTGATCAAACTATCAAATTATATTGGATAAAATATATATTACAGAATCCACAAGATTACTATCTAGAGTCCTGGTTTGAAAGTAAAATGATGCACAAATATTCAATAAACTGTGTTTTCTGTGTACAGAAGTTGTAACTATCATACATTGTGCATGCTTCACTCACTGCACAGACTAACAAGAGTCTAAGGTGTATCAGAAGAGGCCATTTCAGTCCTTGATATCTGGAGCTCTTCATGTATACCTAAAAGAAGAATTTTGACCCAAGCTGCAACAGGGCTTCCTTCATCCAAATAGTTTGGAACTACATTCTGATTAATCACTGTGAGGAAGAGATAAGTGGGGTGAACTGAGCACCTATGACTGTTTTGTTTTATTTTAATCATTGTGCAAATATACATGCTGGCTGCCCCCAAAAATTCAGAAAGAACGACCACATTGAATTTGCTTCTTATTGTTCACAATAGATTCTCCTAATCTGTGAGCCTAGAACTGGACAAACACACAGTTTTGTGCATTAGGAAAATGTTGTAACCCCAAATATAGCAAATACAAAGAACAATGCAAATGGAACCATGCCAGGCAAGCACCTTGGGATGCCTTTGGAATTACTATGGGAAACTTTAACTTTTCCTAAGAGAAAAGAATAGTGAAACCTTCAGGGCGGGGGAAGGGGGAGGACTGCATAATATGAAGAAGGAGAAGGAAAAAGTAATCTGCACAATATTTGAAAGTCATGTATGTATGCCCTAGAATGGGACAATTTAACATATAGTAAATTGAGAGAACAACCTAGCTTATTGTACTGGGTGAATTTGAGTTAATTGTTTCATTTTGTGTCTTGGCTCTTCATAAATAAACTTAAAAAACAACAAATAATCTGGTAGCACTTAAAGACTAACAAAACATGCAGATGGTATCATGAGCTTTCGTGGGCACAGCCCACTTCTTCAGATGACCAGAGTATTGGATGTCCAGAACTAAAATAAATAGGGGAGAAGAGGGGGAGGAAAGAAGGAAAAAAATGGGAGAGGTAGTGGGTATAAAAACATCAAGGGGAAAGCTATAAGTAGACTATTTGTTTTTCCTGTTATATTCCAGCTCAGCTTTCCCCTTGATATTTTTATACCCACTGCCTCTTCTTGTTTTTCCCCCTTCCATTTTTTCCTTCTCTCCCTCCCCCCACCGTCCCCTTTCCCTTCTCCCCTGTTTATTTTAGTTCTGGACATCTAATACTGTGGTCATCTGAAGAAGTGGGCTGTGCCCACGAAAGCTCATGATACCATCTACATGTTAGTCTTTAATGTGCTACCAGACCATTTGTTGTTTTTTAAGTTTATCCTGTACAGACTAACTTGGCTACCCTTGGAAGCTTTTGGATCTTCTTGTTTGTTTCGATACAATGATGGGTTGATTTATGTGATATTTCCAGTCATCAGTATGCATTTTTTTAAAAATTAGGAACAACTGACGAGAAAAGGATTTCCTTTTTTAAACTGCCTTTGGCTGAAACTGACTGCATATTTCCTCTTACATTGCAGAGGCACAGCAATAGCAGGAATCGTGTTTGGCATTGTGTTTATAATGGGGGTGATTGCCGGCATCACCATCTGTGTCTGCATGTGTATGAAGAACAACCGGGGAACTCGAGTAGGGGTCATCAGAACGACGCACATCAACACCATCAGCACCTATCCAGGTGAGGATGCTAAGTTACTCTTTCATAACATAGCCAAAGAATTCCATAGGAAATGTTCATTGTAGAGCTATATTTTTTAATCATTATGATTTCACAGCAGTGACGATTTTAGGGGGGTTTCACAGAGTCAATTTTACCTACAGAAATCATGATCCCTCCACTAATGCTGCAAACCTGAGTGGTACTGCTGTAGCCCTGACCCCGACATTTCAACACCAAGAACAGGGTACCAAGCCCATCTCCCTGGGGCATGATCCACTGCTGCATGGTGAATGTTAGGTGGGTCGCTCTCCAGCATCTGCTTCCCCACTCTAAGGCCTCCCATTTAGATCAGGATTAGAGGTGTTGGAGTTGCAGGTGATCGGTGCTCCTCCCCCCTTGTTTACAGTAAGAATTTAGTTAAGTGCAGCTATCAGGTTGGTTTGACAATATTTGTTCTTGATAAATACACACTGGCTTTTTCTTATCACCTTCTCTTCCAGATGTTTGTCAATAGATTTCTTAATTATTTTCTCCATTATCTGTCCTGGTACAGAAATTAAGCTGGCTGGGTTGTCTTTATTCTCTTTTTATAGATGGGTACTATATTTGCCCTTTTCCAGTCTTCTTGGAATCTCTCCCATCTTCCATGGCTTTTCAAAGATAATTACTAATAGCTCTGATATCTCCTCAGTCAGCTTCTCAAGTATTCTAGGATATATTTCGTTATAGCAGTTGTATTTTTGTATTAATTGTGTGACCTGGGCTAATGTTATAAAGTTGCCTATAACTAGTGAAGTGTGTCTTATTTTATGGTCTAATTTTGTCAACTTTATTGGAATTACCTGCAAAGGGTTTTGTGTGTTTTCTATATATATATAAATCAGTCATGATGCATTACAGAAATTCCCCCTTGCCTTACAAATGGTATTCCATACCATTTTGGGGTTCTGCAGCACAAGTAATACCACTTCAGCTTAAACTGTATTTGCCAGACAACCTCCCCATTTCACTATATGGTTAGTATTTGTGCATGTATTCATATTGCAGTCTCCCATTGCATTGTATCCATTTTCCCACTCACATCTGTACTTTTCAGCTGCACAAAACGGCTATAATCAGCCTCATTATAGCAATGTTGCTTTGCACGACATAGAGAGTTGGGTAACAAAGAGCATGCTAGGACTCATTAGAATTCTCAATTACATAAGAACAGTTACACTGGGTCAGACCAAAGGTCCATCTAGCCCAGTATCCTGTCTACCCACAGTGGCCAATGCCAGATGCCCCAGAGGGAGTGAACAGAACAGGTAATCATCAAGTGATCCTTCTCTTGTCATCCATTTCCAGTCTCTGATAAACAAAGGCTAAAGATACCATTCCTACCTATACTGACTAATAGCTATTGAGGGACCTAACCTCCATGAATTTATCTAGTTCTTATTTGAACCCTGTTAAAGACCTGGTCTTCTCAACATCCTCTGGCAAGGAGTTCCACAGGTTGACTGCGTGCTGGGTGAAGAAAAAAATTACAAATTGCTAAAGAGCAATGCTGGTATCTAATAGTCACCCCAGTTCACAAAAACAAAATGGAGGCTCTAGACTTTACCACCACAAAGCTTTTCTCAGTAAGAGGCATTAATTATTAGTTTTCTATTTTCCTTATCCCTGTTATGAACATCCTTTCTGGGGAGGGTTTTATGTTTCAGCAAGAGCAGTGTTTAGGAAATGAAGTAGGCTCTGAGAAAATATTTCTTCCCTTTCCTTCCCCACCCCTCAGATTGTAGTGGCAATGTTTCCTTCTGCCTCCACTTCAGCTCTGAGTAAATTTGGAGGAAGTGCCATTATTTCTCCTTTGCAGTAGAATCTGATTTTCCCCTGTAGTGCACACATCCGGGTTCACATCCACTCACGCTCGTCAGTCTGTCCGACCTCTTTTCAGTGTAGTGTCAAGCTGGGACATCTCTATGAGGAGATGTGGTGCTGTGAAGAACCACATGCTGGGGCATAGACTGTGTCTTTCTGCGTATTTGCATGGCACAATGGAGCCTTGACACCAGCTGGGGTTTTCAGATGCTACCATGATGTAAATAAATAGTAAGAGCTGCAGATGTATGCTTTCTGGGATAGACCCTATTCTATAAAATTGACAGCAGGTAGAGCTGGTTTGAAGGGACAAAATAGTGAATAATTTTAATAGAATTTTCAAAAACCTCCAGCCAGCAAATCTCTTTGTTAGATAGTAGCATTATCACATGTAAGCCCAAAGCCTAAAGTTCTTCCCAGTTTTCACTTGGTCTTATTCAGGTAAAATCCTGCCGAGAAACACTCAAAAGAAGACTTCAGGCTTTGTCCCACAGTTTGTAGAGCTAACTGGATACTTTCATCACCTAAATCATATTGATGGGGATAAATTATACTTTTCAAACTAATTGTTCTTCTTGTTCACTTTCAGTGGCTCCTCCACCATATAACTATGAATATGAGATGGAATACCCAGCAGACCTACCTCCGCCTTATACTCCAACTCCACAGACTTCAATGCAATATCCACCACCTCCTCCGTACCCTGGATATTCAGGGAAATAATGAACTGGCTTTAGAGAGATATAGAGTTCCTATTGAATCAGCCAGCACATTATGGATGAAAATTGTTGGCTCAGGAGCAAAGAGGATGGGGCCTACATCAGCATATACTGCCTGGAGCTAGTGTCAGGGAGGACAGTTGCAGTGGCTCAAGATGACTTCTAAAGGATGAAGAAAACTGTAGTCCATCCCTGATCACTGTAGTTCACAAATACATTAGAGCACAATAAATGAAACAGCTACTTGAACTTACAACCTAGCTAATAGTGGCTAGCATCCTCCAAAATTCTGCTGGCCTTCTTTAGCAACTTGTTACAGGGAAGTGGAATATTATTTTTCCATTTAGAGGGATTTATGATAAAAACAGTTAATAGGCTTCCTCTTCAGAGCATGAGACTGTAGTTGAGCTCTATGCTGGGAGGAAATTTCCAACAATTGTTTACAAACCTAGATGTATATTTCTTTGAAGTGGTGCAGATAAGGAAGAACAAGGAAGACAGAAGCTACTTCCATTCCAGAAAGGGAATACCATATGATTTGGTATGTATAGCAGTATATGGAATCTGATAGGTTTATTGCAAATAAGAATTTCACTTAAGTCATTCAGTAGCTGATAGTAACTGCTGTCACTAGTTTTGACCAAAACTCAGGCTATTTTAAGTGCCTACTTTTAGGAAGATTAAGTCTGGTTTATAACCTATAATCTAAGCATACAGAACATTTTTGTATGTAGATTTCACTATAACGTATAGACATATTTTCTATAGATTTAAATACTGTATAGAACTTTTTAGATCACTAAATAATACTTTAATTTTGAAAGTAAATATAGATTCAGCAAAATCCTGACATAATTTAGGAGGAAAAATAGATTTTTCCTACAGTTTGATTGCCAATTAAACTATATGAAGATCCTCTTCATATAGTTACAGCTACAGTAGTAATTTTTCATTGAACATTTGTTCTGACAAGCTAATAGTCAGCCTAAAGAAAGATGCATAGAGAGAGACTGTAAACATTGCTATCAATAGGGAACATAGGGGAATGGTTATTTAAAAGTGATTGAGTTCCATAGATTGAAAGGGAGAAGATCTGAGTTGGATTTTCCATCCTGTTTAACAACTACACACATAAATTAGGGGTGGATACAACTGTGTTCTAATCGCCTCTCTTTCAGAATTGCTTTGAAGGCATTGTTGGTGAATGTCCATCATTAGAAAGTTGTTGGAATAAAAACACACGCATTAATTTTGTAATTTGAACTTACTATTGTGCAAAAATTACAGCTGTTGTGGATTTTTTATGGCTCCCTTCATTATTAGTATGCTCTACAACCTATGCAAAAGGTATCAGAGGAAACATGATGTAACATATCAGAAAATCATGGTGACCAGAAAGCTGTGGAAACAGCCTTTTTTATGCATATAAACTCCAACATAACCATGATTCTTAAGGCTCAGAATGTATTTATTCAAAAACTAGCACATAGTTTTCATGCATACCAATATATTGCAAATAAAAAGAAAGATGATTCATCCAGGACCTGATCCAAAATCTACTAAAGTCAATAGACTTGCCATTGTTGGGCTTGAATTAAGCCCCAAATGAGGAAAGTGATTAGGCCCTGATTCAGTTAGGTTCTTAGCACTGGTGTAGCATTAAGTACATGAATGAGTGCATAGACTTTAGTGGGAGTGCTCACATTAGGGATGTAAGAGAGTATGGGTATGTCTACACTACCACCCTAGTTTGAACTACGGTGGTTAATGTAGTCAATCGAAGTTGCAAATGAAGCCCGGGATTTGAATTTCCCGGGCTTCATTTGCATAAAGCCGGGCGCCGCCATTTTTAAATGTCCGCTAGTGCGGACTCCGTGCCGCGCAGCTACACGCGGCACGGACTAGGTAGTTCGGACTAGGCTTCCTAGTCTGAACTACCGTTACTCCTCGTGAAACTAACTTTTATACAGGCCTACTCCGTGCCGCATGTAGCCGCGGGCACGGAGTCTGAACTACCGGGGATTTAAAAATGGCGGCGCCCGGCAAGATGCAAATGAAGCCCGGGATATTCAAATCCCGGGCTTCATTTGCAACTTCGATTGACTACATTAACCACCCTAGTTCGAACTTGGGTGGTAGTGTAGACATACCCTAGTTGATTAGTCGACAACCTGATAAGCTACTTGCATTTCCCCCTCCCCCATATCAGAGGCAGCAAGGGGGGGAACAGGAGACGGTGCTGGAGTGAGCCAGCTTAAAAGTTGGCACTGTCTCCTAGTAAGCCGGGCAGGCAGGCAGCCCAGTTTAGTCCCTGCTCACGCTAGGTCGTGGACCAAACCCCGCTGTTGCTTTATTTAAAATGCAGTAGGAGCCGGGGGCAGGCTGCATGGCTCCTACTGCCTTTTAAATTGCAGCACCCCAGCAGGTTTTGGTCTCGGCACGAGCCATGACTGAGTGGGACTGCCTTCCCCTATCGAGTAGTCAATACAAATTCTATTGACTACTCGATTGCTAAAATAATCTAAATTTAAGAGCCCCAACTCACATGCTTACAGGTATTCAGAAGCTGATAAGTACCTTGCTAAATCAAGACCTTAGTAACTATCTTTGCTAGTATTTTGTAGTAGCATTTTTCCCTTCCAGCTTGGGCAGTTTTACCCTCCTGAAAAGTCCATACTGAGCCACTGTGTAGAGCATTACATATTTATACTTTTTAACCTATTCAGAGGAAATTGGACTATCCCGCAGAACATGGCTGTAGCAAGATTCTTAGAGCCTTTGACAAAAAATGGAGGATTGACTATTGTTCATTTTGGTGCAGTGCAAAGAACACTAATCCAAAATTATCTGATTTTTTTAAAGTTAATGTAGGTCTCAGCTGGAGTAATAAAGGTATGCCATATTATCCATTAATATGGCTGCTCACAAGCAAGGGGATAAAATATATTTGACAGTAGGATTCCTGATTATAATATTTTGGCATCCCCTACTCATGACCATCTGTTAGGATGATGGCATATCTGTCAATATACCAGTCTGAGCTAGTGGTCAGCATGCATATCAGAGCTAGCGTCATATTCTCTGCATGAAGTCCCCCTTCTTCCATAGCAATGCTATATGAGTAACCCAGGCTTTTTTTACAGCTGAGCACACCTTTTTATACCAAAGTAATTACCAATGGGAGAGGAAGGTATGAATGAAATGTGAACTTTTCCTTCTCTCGTTTCAGGATTTTCTGTTTTATAACAATATGCGTGCATACACAAATACATCTCAGAGCAATTTTGCAGTTCCATTTTTATTTGATGAGCTCATGTTACAACTGTAGCTGTAACCAGTGCTTACAGTTTCCTAAATAAAAAAAGGAAATATAAATGTCTCCTGGATCATAAATCTTCCCTCATCATGAAGATCTCTCTCAGAGCTTAGTCATAACAAGTTATAAAGCACATCTCTGACGGGAAAAAGCATGTCGAGTAATTAGCGAGAAACCATTGGTTTCTCTGCAGTTTAAGCTGTAGTTTTGAGATTGCATGTCTATGTTGTAAATATGGTCACAGTGGATAAGGTGCCTATGCCTTGGTCTACACTAGGGAATTATTTCAAAATAACTCTCCATATTTCGAAATAACAAGTGGAGCATCCACATTACCAAGCCTGTTATTTCAAAATAAGAGGCTGGGTATTTTGAAATAAATAACTCCTGCTTTCCATGAGGAATAATGCTTATTTTGAAATTATTATTTCAAAATAGCGTGAGTGTGGACACTCAGCTGCTGCTATTTCAAAATAATTGGCCTCCAGAGGCCTCTCACAGCTGCACTTGTGGCTGCTCTGGCCACGCACATGACATCTTCAATGTTCCCTTTCTCCTGCAGAGCTTAAAGCAGCAGGCAGCAGAGGAAAAGGGCTTGCGGCATGTGTGGACTTTTCACAGCCCAGTGGTACACAGCTCCCATCCCAGAAGCCATGTCCGATCCCAGCACTCCCTCTGACCCTTCCATGGCTGCCTGCGCTCCCACAGCACCCTCAGCTGCCAATAGCCAGGGACAAAAGAGGGCACCAGCCTAGATTGGTGTAGAGATCCTGGACCACATCAAAGTCTGGGCAAGGAGACCAACTTCCAGGATCTCCGCACCAGAGGAGGAATGCCAATGTCATGCATTGGCCCTCAACCAGGTCTGCATGAAAATAAAAGAGCTCTGGCAGATCTACAAGGCCAAAGAGCAGTGAGGATGTTCTGGGACAGCTCAGAACACTCACAGCTGATGCTATTACAAGCAGCTCAATGCCATCCTGGATGGCGGGGCAGTCACACACACCCCGCATCATCATCGAGTACAGCAAGGGCACACCTGGCATCAGCCTCCACAAGAGGGGAATTGTGGAAGATCATGACGAGGAGAAGGAGCAGGCCAACGAGGCCACCATGACCACCAGCCAGGACCTGCTCCTCACCCTGGAGCCAGCCCCCCTCCCAGGATGTCTCCCAGGCCTCGGACAGTCCTGGCGAAGGCACTTCAGGTGAGTTCCATCACTTTCCCTATACACAGTTGGTGGCAGGCGACAGCTTGCGAGGAGCTGCACATGCCTCACTTGGCCTTCTCAGCCCCTCGCTCCTTCTCACAAGGTTCCTGAAGAGGCTTGTTTTACTCCAGCCTCCATGGTGGGACACCTTCCCATGACAAACCACCACTAAGGAGGCTGGGGTCATGGAACCAGACAGCAGTGCTGCATGTGGCACAGGCTCATGCCCGCCCTCAGGCAGCCTCTGCTCCCGGTCAAGCATGGCAATGTGGAGGAAGAGGACCCTGATCCCCTGCATGGGAACCTGCCAGAAGGGAGAAAGAGGACCCCAGTAGCACTCTCCGACAAGCAGCATCCGCCGCTCACACACCCCTTCCCCAATACCTTCCTCTTCCAGCAAACAGTGAAGGAAGTTCTCTCTCTGCAGAATGTCGCCAGTGTCAGATCTGGTGTATGTGGGACACAGAAAACAGCCGAGTTGCCCCATCCCCCCCTCCCACATGCAAACTCCTGGCCTAATCAACATTGTCCCATGCCTGCTTGTCCCCGGGACAAGGGTATAGTGAAGCTCCCTTGGGACATCCATGCCTCTTCAGGAAAGTCCCCACTGCCTAGGCAACATATGGCCTTGCTTGAAACACGTTGCCATCATCTGAACCAAGATGTTTGGTGTCGGCGCAGAGGTTAAGACTAGGCAGCGTACGCAGTGTCTCCTGGGATGACTGCCCTTGTAACTTTCCTTCACAGCGGGCCCAGCTGTGAGTGTGCCGTGTCTACCACCTCCCAAACCATCTTCCCGACTCCGCGGGATCCGCCAGAGGAAGCAAACCCAGGAAGACCTGCTGCGGGACCTGATGGCCTGACTCCAGTCCCTCATCTGGGGGCTCGACAAGGAGTGCCAGGAGCCGACTGCTGACCAGCAGGAGCACTGGGCTGACTGGGAGCAGTGGAAGGCTTCTGCTATCAGCTGGAGCACCAGCAAGAAGCTATGTGCACCTCTCTCACCTATGTAATAGAGCGCATGGCTGAGTGCATGGAGAAGGCCACCAGCCACATCCCTGTCCCCTCCCCACCCAACTCCCTGGCCCTGATATCCCCCCCCCTTTGGCTTCCTCTCCCAGCCTCTCCCCCCTCCCGGGACTGCCAGGCCCCAGAACACATGACGGTGGGACCACTCAGGCAGCTGAAACTTTCCAAGTAGCCAAGGCAGGCACCAGTCCCAGCCCCATCCCTGAGCTCCCCTCCTCCCACCCCCAGGTTCTTTCCCCAATTTCTCTCCTGTTGTATATTCCCCCAACACACAGAGTAACAGAGTTGTTTTTTTCCAATAAAAAGTGGCTTCTTTATTTGCTCTGCAGGGGAGGGGAGATGTGGGAAGGGAGGGCAGGGGAAGGGAGAGGCTGGGGAACAAAGGCCTTGTGAAGGGACCCCTTGTGAAGAGGCCTGGGGGAAGAGTCCCACAGGTGGCCTTGGCTGAAACTCTCCCTCAGTGCCTCAGCTTGTAAGCCCTGGCCCTGGCCAGCTGTTCAGCTTCAGCCCCCAGGAAAGTCTCCCCCTTGCTATCATAGAGGTTGTGGAGCACACAGCAGGCTACCACCACATAGGGGATGTTGCGCTCACTCAGGTTCAGGCAGGTGAGACTCCTGAACCTCCCCTTTAGGTAGCCAAAGGCACCCTCCACAACCACTACAGCACCTGCTCAAATGTTCCTTGGTGGGGTACAGGCTGCCTGTGTAGGGCTTCAGCAGCCAGGGGAGCAAGGGGTAGGCTGCATCACCCAGGATACAGATCGGCATGCCCATGACCCCAACCCTGATGATGCGGTCAGTGGAAAAAGTGGAACAGACAGGAGTTCCGGAAGATGCAGGCATAGTGCACGTTTCCCGACCAGCTGACATACATGACCGTGAACCATCCCTTGTAGTGCTCCAGGGCCTGCAGCACCGTAGAGAAGTACCCCTTCCTGTTGATATAGTTTAAGGCATGGTGGTTGGGGGCCAGGATGGGGATATGAGTGTTGTCTATGGCCCCCAGCAGTTGAGGAAGCCCATAGCAGCAAAGCCATCCATGATGATGTGGACATTCCTCAGAGTGATGGCCCTTCACAGCAAGATGTTATTAATGGCCTTCACTACCTGAAGGAGCACAGCTCTGGCCATGGATCGAACTGGTTCTAGACCGAGTGGTAGCTGTCTGGTGTGGTGAGCTTCCAGAGCGCTATGGCGATACACTTCTGCACGGGGATGG